GCTATACGCAATGTATGAATAATAATGTTCGTGTGCAAAATGTGTACTATATTGGTAAATGCATATTATTATAGAATAGTAAAATAATATCTTTTATTTCTCTCCATTTAACGACCACTCTTTATAACGCCGAAAAATGTTCAGTCCCTTAAGTGTCGTTATATAGAGTTTACACTGTATATAAAAAAGTAGATATTGATTCAAATTATTAATCAACCTTCGCCAATAACCTATGTATCCCTGATAAAATGTATCACTGGCACAACTATTTAATCATTATCTGTGTTAGGGACACCTACCGTATATTTATTGTGGCCTTTTCGACGAAAGTCAAGTGGTGCTTGTCACGATTGAATATTTCACAAAGCTGAACATTTCAAAACATCTCTTTTATTCGTCAAAAGACAGGTATACCTTTCAATTGGCGTTCGAAAAGGGCCGACAATAATCGTTGCACTTGTTCAGATAATCGTTTTCGTCATAGGGGATTTTGTATCCCTGTCAATCGGTCGGTTGCTCGACTCTATATTATATTATTATAGCTAATCGAACCTTTTTGGCTCCATTAACGAGTGCTTTTCAATATAACTACCTGTTAGCACCTGATCGTTTCTAAACTACCTGGATATTTGTGGGTATTTACAAAAGCGGGCCGAATGTGCAGTAGCGTTGGCCCTTAACAACAGATACGTATATTTCCGAATTATTAGGGTGAGTTTTTGACACGAGATTGAAGACTTGTTAGTACAACCACTTTGTTTCTTTATTTACAAACAAGTTCAAATGTTATATAGTCTTTGTACGTCTAATTTCCTATTACATGTAGGCACAGAGAAAAATTTTGCCTAAATTTATCGAATGGGTTTGTTTTTAAGGTTCACATACCACAAAGGGGCATGACACCATGACAACTCTAACTTCTTTGGTGTTGTCTCATCCTACAATAATCTGCCAGATGATTTTTTTTATTGTTACCTACTTAATTTTCTTTTTTACGAAAATTTCTTTATATTTCTCTGGAGATTATTATAGCAAGAAAAAAATATTTAAACAAAAAAAACCATTTGGCGCAAAAAGAGAGCTGCTTTTTTCATTATTTACATGTATATAGGTATGTATGTGCCTGCAGTAAATAATATGTTCCCTAGACGAAAATTTTCAGTCTCTCTCCAGTTTCTCAGTCTTTCAAAGTCTCTGAGAGCGTCTCTCACAGTCTCTCGGTTATTGCCTAGATGTTTTTGTGGATCTCTCACAGTCTCTGTATGAGAGACTCGAACAATAAATTTGTCAATTCGGAGATTCGAGTCTCTCACAGAGAGACTGAATGAATAAAACTGAAAAATTGAGAGACTCGAGTCTCTCGTAGAAAGACTAGGATCTCTGAAATGTGTTGAACTTAAAAAATTTTAACCATCACGTCTATCGAAACACCACTTATTGAGAGATTCGAGTCTCTCGTTCAGGGATTCGAGTCTCTCGTTCAGAGACAGGATACGAAATGAAGAACTCTCTATGAGCGACTCGAGTCTCTCGTTCAGAGACGCTAAACAGTTTTTTTGACAGTCTCTCTCTCAGCGACACCAGAGAGACTCGATGAGAGACGGAGACTCGAGTCTCGCTTTCAGAGAGACTGAGAAATTTTATCTCGGGTTCTCAATTGGCGTTTTTTATTTTTGTAGACTCAACGATAGTAACGTGTGCTCTTTGCGGTTAGTAACTTCATCCCTTATGGTTATAACCACCGGAACGAAATCAACACGTGTTTATTAGTATAAAATTTATCTTATAAGGTCGCATAAGAGCGACATCAAAGTGGTTACTCTATTGTAAATAGGTACATACTGTAAAATTATTATTATTGAAAGATTGCATATACGTCAGCGACATAGTAACTCAGTACAATCAATCAAAAAGGTAACGACTGAAGTTAGCAACGCAACATTGAACTCACTTAAAATGTAGAAAATACGAAATATTTTATGCACCCGAGAATGTTGTGACTATATAGCTAACTGAAATTATTTGCTATTGCGTTTATTTATTAGACAAAAAATATTTAAAATTTATTAGGTAACTTCTGCAGACCTTAATTCGCTTTTTCGAGAATGGCTTGCTATTTAACTTTAAAATGAGTCGTTTTACAATTCACGGAAAGCAGTGTACAAAAGAAATAATGTTAAATGTCCGGGGTATATGGATTAAGGGTGTCCGCAATAGTGTATGGATTGGGAAGGTCGTAGTTAATATCCGAAATATCCATAACTTTTTATTTTAAATTGTAACCGTCACATCCTAACCAACGCAAAAATTTAAGAAGAAGTTTCACAGTAGATATTCTTCTACCGACAATGACACCGACTATACGTAATAAAGAAAGAAACCTCTCAAAGCGCACACACCACACAATTTATATTTATTTTCTTGATGCGTGCCTTCTGTTAAGACGGTCAAATGTGGTTGTATTATGAATTAAAAAACAGAAGCAAGTGTGAAGTAAGCTGGATCCGTTTACGATAGAGCACTTGACGGTTTTCATTGAAAATATGACACGAGACAGGACACAGGATGCTTGCAAATAAAAATAGGTATCAACAAAGAAAAAAAGACGGAACTGTTAACTCATGTTTCAATTATGAATCTGTTAATTCATTTTATACGCTAAGCAATACACAAAAGTGGGACGAAATTAATTAAATTTAAAACAAAAGTGGGACGAAATTAATTAAATTTAAAATTTGGAATGAGTAAAAGCAAATAATAGTTTCAATTTACTGATTTTCGATATCTAGGAAGTTAGATAGTTCAGGATGGAAGGAGTAGTAGAGATATCTAAGAAAGGATAGCACAGGGTCAAGGTACCTTTAACAAAAAGAAGTGTTAAAGGTGTATATATGGAGCACAGCTTTGTACTGGTGCGAAACATGGACAAAAAACTTCGAAGCGTTCGAAATTTCGCACCCGTACAGCGCCGCGCTCTGAACATACATGTAACAATATTTTTAGAATTTCTAAATTAATGGTTCACGAGCATAGAAGTGACTTCTTTTACTACTCGTTCCGTCCTGACTTATCTGACTTCCTAGACACCTAAAATCTCTAACTCCTCCTTGCTAGATGCTAATACTACTATATCATCTGCAAATCTAAGCATACTAATCTTTTGCCCCTCTATATCTATCCCTAAAGTTGTACTGTCCTAAGCATTAATACTTACAAAAAAAGTAAAAGTTCAACATGACACTTACCTGAATCATTGGAGATGCTTTTCCGATGAGTTGAATGGTCTATCGCCTCCGACTAACTGAAAAATACAAAAATAAAACCATTAGCAAAAATGAAAACATCAAGGGAAATATAAAACATTAAATATCCCGAAAGAATATTTGAATCGAGTCATGTATCAACAAAAGTTCAGGTAGCAAAGTAAATCAAAAACAAATTTGATCAACAGAGTAGGTAGATATTCTTCATCAGATTACCTCAAGTTAATGAGTAAAAATTTGTAGCTGCTGTCGAGAAATTGAGTTGATTTCACATTCATGGTTGATAACTATTAAAATATTAATCGCTACTAAATATAAGAACTTTCTTAGACTAGCGACTAAACCGTTCAATTAAAAAGCATTCGATATCTAGGAAGTTCTCGTTTAATTTTGAGTTAAAAGTCGCATATTTTGACGTAATCAAGTTGGAACTAAACAATTGGAAAGGAGTAGGAGGGTTTAAATGTCTATATTCAAATGTATAGTTGATTGCATATACATACATTCTATTGGCATATAAACAATAAAATTAAAACGTTTAAAGCGTGGTTTATAAAACTAATGAAAATGTCGTTAAAATTAAAATATAAGTACTATGTACCATCGATAACGATGCCCACTATCTAAATTTAGACGAAAATAGGTTTATTTAATAAATAAATTGATTTTTATAACTTAGGCAACGTTGGTTTTACAGGGGGCACTACCAAAACATTACCCCGAGGCCGCCAAAAAGTATTTAGACCAGCGTTGAGGTCCCTATTTGTTATTTTTTAATAAAATATAGGTACGCTAGCTATTGTGTATTACGTGGCGTGTTAATTTCGTCCAGGAGCGTATTAAGCATTTAAAACAGATTCTGTAATAATAACAGGGCGTGTAATGGATGTAGGAAATCGCGTCCGCTTTGACGGAATGTAAATTTTTTGTGACATTCATCAGCCCCTCGCACGCTATTGTTATACTTTTAGTAGGAGTTTCTCACGGTTGGCACTACAACAACGCTTAAAGGGTTATTATATGTGAGAGTGCATAATGAGCGCGTCTCTCCGACTCTTTTAATCGTATGCAAGGGCATGCATACATTAGAAAGGAAGACAGTAGGCGAACCCTTCGGCGTAATAATAATATGTAAGAAGAATCGAAAAACTTAATGGATTTTTTTTTTATAAAGCAAATACCAGAGCGACGGAACCGGCTACGGACGGGACGGGTTACATGGGTAGGTGCACTGTGTACATGGAACATATGTGTATGTGAAAATGTGCATCGATAAGCTGTGAGCAGGGAGGAATTAACGGACGTTGGGTACAAAAGGTGCAAGGACTGTCAAAGTGTCGAGTTTCAGCGTTTTTTTCAGGAAAACAAAAAATTAAGTGTTATGCAGAACCATGCAGAAGGGGTGCCCAGTGGATCAAATTATTTACCAATAGTTGAAAAAATATTCTAACAAATACAGGATGATCCCCTGAATTTTCTCATGCCTCCTCTCTTCACTATTCTTGAAATCCATAAGGCGTTTGTAAGAGATTATTAGCTTCTTTATAATCTGACTAGGCAATTAGGAAGGCAGTAACATTGGACATAGGTTAGGTTAGGCTGTCGTGACTGTTTGGTTCCATGCATGGCCGCTAACTACACATACGTATTGTGCCTAACTTTGAATTGCTCTGTTCTATCAAATAGCCACAAATATCCCATTAAAAGTTTTTCGAAATGTAAAACATAAGAACCAGTTTGTTCAAATTTTATTGCTTTTTTACCTGTCATGAACGACTACATAGGGGGTTCGTCAATTTTTTTCGGGCCTTTCTTTTGGTTCGCGAGGAAAAAAGGTTGGGAAACACTGCTCTAGGGCAAGGAAGGGGCATGTAACGCCTTGCTTCATTTGCGTATCATTAGGAATGTCGCATGTGACCCCCGCAGGGAAAAATTATTGCTACTCCATTGAAAATTTTTGGAAAAATGGAAAATTATTGATGAAAAATATAATGAGAAATATATTTTACCAATGAGAAACTGAAACACTTTTGCATATGTAACAACGGTATAACATATACTATTTCTTCACTTTCGTCACTAACATTAAGATAAACTATCTTTTTAGCAACATGTGTGATTTTACAGGTAGTAATATTTTCATTGTTTGAAGAAATTATAGGTACATTTCTAAATATTAAGCATCGCATGGATACGTATAAAGGGATTTTCTTTTTCGTAGTAGTTTTCCACAATTTTCAATACAATTTATATCTCCATTTGGAGAAATATACACATATATCACATATTTGTAAAATTTGTTTGCCCTTAAGTAAGATTGTGTTATTGGGCTGTTTTGTAGTCAATAATACTTTAAATTGCGGGGGGTCCTGAACGAGGCCCATCAGAGGTGCTCACACGACCCTTTTTAAACTCGGAAACCCACTGCTTAACGGTTGAATATGACGGGGAGGATGTCCCCAGTGTTGAGTCCATCTCTTTTTTAATTTCCTTCGGCGTTAACCCCTTCAAATAAAAGTATTTGATGACAGCACGATTTTCCTGCTTTTCCATTTTTACGAAAACCACAGAGGCGTCTTGTTCAGCGTGCTGTCAAACCTACACTAGCAAGGAGATCGGGCTGAAACTATAGCTACAAGCTATCCAAGGATGGTACTATAGAATGTCACCTCAAGGTAGGCCTAGTGGCGTCATCTCTTGGTTAGGCCGGAAACTTATCAATCCACCCTCGTATATCTTTCCTTTACAGATTACGTCAATGAGAAAACAGTTGCAGTTGCTGACACACCCTCGCCCCACAGCAGCAACAATTATGAAATACAGAGACAATTTAAATTTTTTCGATATTTTTTACTTCTTTCAATCACTTTATAATTGTACTATTTTCTTCGCTCAGAGGAAGGGTAAGTCTTCGAGTTTTCATAACTCTCACAATTATTGACACTGTTTTCTTTAAAGCTCGCATGTGTGAGAAAATTTTAACATTTAAGTAATTCGGTAAATAGAAAAGTGTTTAGATTTAAAAAAAAAAACGTAAGTATCAGATTAAATAAGTAAGACCAAGACTTAATACGAATACGACCAATACCAAGATCGAGACTATATCAGTAAGGCCAATACCAAGACTAGAAGTATTTGAGCATGTGCAAGATCAAGACTAACAGGTACTAAGATTGGGACAGCCTTGGCCTTGGTCTTGCTCAAATACTTCTAGTCTTGGTATTGCTCTTACTGATATAGTCTCGACCTTGACCCTAATCTTGCTGATATAGTCTCGATCTTGGTCTTTATCTTTCGTGTTAAGTCTTAATCTTATTTATTTAATCTGATATTTACGTAATAAGTAAGCCCAAGTCTTAACATGAAAAAACGAGACCAAGACCGAGTGTAAATCAATAAAATCAGGACCAAGATCGAGACTATATCAGCAAGATCAGGGCCAAGGTCGAGACTATATCAGTAAGACCAATACCAAGACTAGAAGTATTTGAGCAAGACCAAGGCCAAGTCTGTCCCAATCTTGGTACCTGTTGGCATTGATCTTAGGCATGCTTAAATACTTCTAGTCTTGGTATTGGTCTTACTGATATAATCTCGATCTTGGTCCTAATCTTGCTGATATAGACCCGAACTTGGTCTTTGTCTTTCGCGTTAAGTCTTGGTCTTACTTATTTAACAAGACCAAGGCCAAGACTGGGAGAGTATTGGTCTTGGTCTTGGTCTCACTTTGCTCATCACTACCCCTCCTACTAAACACATAGTTTTATTAATGAGCAAAAGATAATTTGAAATCCATAGGTATGTTAGTTCCACTGATAACGTAGGAAACGTTACGATGCCTTCACAAAAAACTTGATGGTCCTGTCTCGCCCTCCTCTAATGAAATTAAAATCGTTGATGATATTTAATTAGATTTTAACTCGCTGGTTCAAAACTTATCGTAGGTATCTACGACAAGTTAAGCTAATGTGTATCATACGTCGGGGCTAATTTCAGTTTCCTGTTACAATTCGTCGAGCGTCGAGACAAATTTGCCCAATGAACCCTTAATGATAGCGTTGGAGAAAATTAAGTGGCTCACGCAAGATGCTTCCCTATAATCATTGCCGTATTACTTAATACGTAGTTATGAACAGAAGGGTAGAAATGTCAACATGGAATTCTCGGTTCGAGAAATCGTCGTCATTTGCCGCACCCCGTCGTCATTCCGCCATTAACGACGCGTTGTAAAATAATAAAAACACGAAATAAAATACATAATGGCATAGCCCATTTATTAGAAAAAAGATGTATTTAAGTCCTCGTAGAAAATAGCCTGTCATTAAACCCACGGAGATTACAGTTATGTCTTTTGAAAGAAAATACGGATTTAGAGTGCTCTACGCATTAAAAGTAATATATTTTTGGTCTCCATCTCGATATATGAAGCCCTTGTTTGGCATCTTTTTAAAAAATTTTCAGCCATAAGCTCAAATGTAGAAGAAGTCTACCATAAGATAACTTCTATATAAATGTTATGTTAGGTCATCATAATCATAGGTCATCAGTCCAAATACTGCTTGGAAACGAACCTCAACTCCTTTCTATCCTGAGTCAATTTTCGCATTTTTCGAATGCTAGAACGTCCCATTAACCATTTGGTAACAGTAATTTAATCTTAGGTCTCCCTCCAACTGCTTCTAATACGTCTCTAATTAGCCCTTCATGTCTCAAAAGGTCACACCATCATATCCCTTCTTCTCTTTATCTCTATCTCTTTCTCTATCCATCATCATTTCTTCATCCCCCTATAACACCATATCTCAAACGCCTCCTTCTCTTTTCCGCCTCCCCGATCAACCCCGTTAGATATATCTTGAAACTATCGGAAATTCCGTAAAAGAGAATGTTTCCGATAGATCGGAAGTTCTTACACATTAATGGCTTCTTGTTTATGACTAGTGCAAACAGTTTTAGCATTAGAGGAAGGCCTCATATTCAATCATTAATAGTATTATAAATTTTTAATATATTGAGTAACAGACAACAGAAAATAATT